CCCCACGGCTCGGCTCGGCTCGGCTCGGTCCAGCGGGGCCCGGCACAAGGAAGCGACCACCGAGCGAGCGCGGGAGCACAGAACCCAGCCCGGCGCTGGGCGCGCGACCCCGGAAATAAACGCGCGAGGTCAGCGGCGCCGCGCTTGCGTACTTCCGGCCACACCGCCCCTGGCCGCCCAGAGGGGCTTCCGCCGCGGTGGGCGGGGTCTTGTTAGCTGGGGGCCCCTAGGGACCCCAGGTCTGAAAGATGGGCAGTTCTTCGAGAGTGGCAGGTGGTGGGCACAAGCGCCTTTGGCTAAAAGCAAGGAATCCCTTCAAACTGGGGGCCGGAAAGAAAGGATGGTCTCCACGGGACGCTGCGAGCTGCAAGCCACCCCGTTAGCTTGTCGAACTCTGTCCAGAATAAAGTGGAAGGAAACCAGACCACGACTGCGAAATCTGATTTCTGGCGTCTGCTGAGCCTCTGCTACCCCCTATAAGGGTCGTGACACTAGATCGTCCCAGATTTCCTAAGGCTTTTGAAGGTAGACATTGCTTTGATTTCCTTGGAATTCCTGGGACAATTCCTCCAGGGCGGGAAGAAGGTGCTCAGTTAAGCTGTTAAAATGACATGCACTATAAATTGTACCTTAGGTGAAAGCAGTAATTATCTCACTGCCTGCAACTCAGCCTCTCACTAATCCCTTCTCTCCTCATTTGCTCCCGGAAATTCTCACTCCAGTTACACTGCTGGAAGAAAGGAGTGCATTGCATTAATCATTAAAACTCCAGCTTTAAGAGTTTAAGATTTTGTTATCGCGTCTTGTACCTCTGAATTTAAAATGGTGGTATGCAGTTAGTTACCTCTTGGCAAGCCGTCTATTTCTTTTGGTGTCTTTGTCTTGGGATTTATTCCCACAGGGGAGACAAATGAGGCTTTACATCAGTGGTCAATTCTCTTTTGGTTAGACGTAAAAAATTATCTTTCAATAACACCAGGACTGCAAATGACTGGCACATTTGAGATTTCCTTGCATGAACAAGGTTAAAAAAAAAAAAACTTTAAAAAATTTAGTTCTTTTTTCTTGAGATACAAATCTGTATCAAGGATTTCATATAACTCATTAATGAGAAATTATGTAAACTGATACAACCGTTCAGAGTCTATAGACACAGCTAGGCAGTCCCAGAGTGCTGAGAAGTATTTACTTCATAGATTAGAAAACAAACAAATAAAAAAACTTCCACAGTGGGGAAGAGAAATCAATTGAACTTCCACCAACAAGATTAAATTGTATGTCCAATATCGGTGCACCAGAACCCAGCTGGGTTGCTATCAATTCTCTACAACCAACAGAGTTATAAATAACCTTTTTTAAAAAAGAAAGAAAAGATTCCATTGAACCAGATAAGCTAAAGGACATGCCAGGCACTGCCCATTCACTGAAGACACCCAAAAGTCTTTTTGACTCATTTCAGAGTCTCACAAAAAATGAACAGTGGAGGGATCCTCACCCCATGAATCTCCTTTGTCTCCACAGTTGTTTGTGTTTGTCTGTGTTTTTAATTCCAGGCCAGCTTGTTTACTGCACGCTTGCTAAAGGAAATAAAATAAAATAAAATTGCACCCTTAAAAATAACACAATAGAATAATTTATTAACAAAATCCTTGCATTATTGAACAAAGATGCAACCACTGAGGAAAGGAATTCAACGCTTATCTGGGATTTTTCATCTCTTTCTAAATAGAATTGACATGTGGTCTTCTGTACGTCATTTCCTCTCTCCGAGCCTCAGCTTTTTTTAATCTCTAAGTATTAGAGATTAAACTTGATTTGTGAAGCTTCTTCCTGTTTTAAGACTGGTTCAATACTCATTGTTTTTTTTGCTCCCTCTCCCTGACTTACTGAAGCCCCAAAGAAAACCTCCTACATGGGAAGACTTCAGAGTGTTAGGAACATCACATCTGCAGCATTAATTCCCTTTACCCTTCATGAGCTAGTTGCCAGCTCCCCATTCATCCCACAAAATCACTCTTTTAAAGTGGAGATTCTCATCTGTGAAAAGATGCTCTGACAAAGATGCCAGGAGATGTCATATTTTTACCCAGTAAGTGGACAAAGATAAACATTCAGTAATACTAAACGTTGCAAGGCAGACCTAATTGGAGCCATTATAATTCCAACAGCTCTTTGCAGAGCAAGCTAGCCTTAAGTAGCAATAGGAGTCACAAAAGGATAAGTGTATATGTCCTTTGACCCAGCCATTCTACTCTTAGGAATGTGTCCCAAAGACTCACCCAAGTGCGCAAAGATGTTTGCACTTGAGTACTGACAGTAACATATTGGGAGGAGCAAAAGTTGGCTTCACCAATGTGCCAGTCAATATATTCAATAAAGTATCTTGTACACACAGATGGAAGACTGCTGCCGCTGTGCAACAGTAAAAAGAAAATGAGGCAGATTTTAATGAATTCATATGCATGGTCCTCAAGGCATAGTTTAGTCTACTGTTTGAAATTATGTATTTGTATAAAAGAAAAGGTTGTATATTCGTGTGAAAACAGGCTCAAAGGATAGTAGCAAGGTGGGGACAGGTCACTGTCCTGGTTCTCACCATTGCAAAACCACTCAGGCTCAGGGAACAACAATGAGGTTTATTTGACAAACAGGAGATTGGGGGAAATCTCCTGTGTCCCAAAGACTCACCCAAGTGCGCAAAGATGTTTGCACTTGAGTACTGACAGTAACATATTGGGAGGAGAGTATGTTGCAGCTGTCTCACCCCAAGTCGTATCTTCAGTGTCCAGGACTCCCAAACAAAGGCTACTCATGCAAGCTGGCACCATCCTGTCAAGGAGGTCCTGGAGCTGGTGGCACACCTGCAAGCAGTGGTTCAGGGTCCAACTCATTCTGGCCGCTGAGGTGATACCACAGAAACCCACAGCAACAGTCTGAAGGTCAGGCTGGACAGCACCAGATGTTGGACTGGAAAGCAAGAGACACTACCACCAGTGGGAAGCAAGTACCCAGTGGTCAGAAATGGTGGACAGCTCTCAGAGTGCCAGTCACCTGTCACTTGTCATCAGTGGTTGACACTACTGGCCACGAGTGCCAGTCACCACCAGTCACCGGGAAGTGGTGTCGGACATACCAGTGGCCTCTGGTATTGACTAATAACCAACAGCTCTAACCAAGCAGAGGCCAATGTGTGCTCCTTGTGGGTGATGTCAGAAGCCAGGCCTGCATGCTTGTACCACGGTTCCCTTACCTAGTCCTCTCTGTGTCCCTGGAAAGATCCCTGTCTTACATGTCTGTTGGCTTGTACAAGTGTTTAGTGAGGATCTATGCTCTGCCTGGCACCATGCTAGGTGTTGTAGACACATAAATGAGCAACTAGACGAAACATAGAGTGTAACTGAACCAGTGAGGCACAGTTACATTCAGCATGCTCCTAAGATGGAAAAGGCTGTTGTGTGTGGGAGGGTATACCAGGAGCCTGGCTGTGCTGGGTACCCGTGAAAGCCCCTTTAGAATGTGAGCTGTTGACACAAGCTATATGCAACTTCTGTCGATGGACAAATTCCAGATGGAGGGGAAATGCTCTAAAAAGTCAGAATTTCCACGCTAACTTATGTTATGACCTTCCGTTTTTGTAATATCAAAATATTCTAAGCAACCATCGGCTTGCAATCGGATTGCCTTAGCCTCATAAGGCGCTGCCTGGCTCAGGTGAGCAAGCGCTGTCCCAAGACAGGAAATTCCTCTAGAAAGCAAAAAATAATATTACAACTGGCTGATTAATAAAAGCAATGATAACAAAATCAATATTGTAAGACAAGGCTGTACTAGAACATGCTAAAAAATAATTAAAGTTCTTTTACTGCCCGCACCGGAACCCAAATCTTATCGCTCTACGCTCTTACTTAAGCTTTTATTGCTCAGTCTTTAAATGAGGAATCTTACTATCTCCCTTAGTGATTTATCTACCAGAAAACTCCTCCACCCTAGTCTTCCACTTTACCCTCTTTCACAACTTCACCTTGGTCGGTGACCTCACCTTATCCCCCTTCACATCTCCAGCCCAGCCTCCACCCTAGTTCTTGACTTTTCCCTCTAAGATGTCTCAATAAGAATGAAGATCATTAAGTAGCATTTAAAGTTTAAAGGGACTTTATTTTAGCCAATCATCACTGTGGTAAATATGACAATGTTAGCCTTAAATTTTATGAATCTATGTACCTATCTTAACTTTAATAGATTGATTTTAAGAATAATGAATGTTATATCTCAGCTAAAGGTCAATATGACCCTAAACTGTTCTTAGAAAAAAAGATGATTGTAATCTCTCAGCCCAGTTCACGTGCTGATGTCATCCCACTGCTTGCTCCTAATGTATAAAATAAACTTCTGCTAAGAGCTGAACAGGAAGACTTGCACCCAACTCCGATTCCCATGTCTTCCTCGCGCCCACTCCCCTTTTTCTCCTTTCCCCCTTTTCTAGGAATCTCCGCTCACCAACGCTGCTCCCACTTTGAGACCCTGCCTGTTCTGCCCCAGCAACCCATGATTGGGATGGTCCCCAACAAGCTATTTAGGACATGTGGGAATTTGGCAAGCCAAGGGCAGAGGAGCCAGACTCCAGACTAAGGGGTAGTTGGGGAGGCCTGATGGTAGCAAGGAGCAAGGGCTGTTAGAACTACTGGAAGGGGTCAGTGTGGGGGAGGCCATTGCAGAGTGGCTTGAGGCTAGACTGAGCGCTTGCAAGGAGCTCAGTCACAACAAGGTCCTGACAACCAATGACCAAGTCTCGCCTGGTCCGGAGGCAGTGGGGAGCACTGATTTTTAAAGGTTACCCCAGCTGCTTTGTGGAGAGCAGATTGGAGAAGGGCAAGGACACCTACACAGATGAAATGTCAACTAATATTGTCTACTTAGAGAAGCATTCTACTTAGAAAGTCCACGTTTTGCAAACACATAGCACTATCTCATGGAGGCTAGACAAGAGGATCTCTACATAGTCTTAGCATTCCTGCCCCACTCATTACTTACAAAAACAGAAATAGGTAACCTTCACCATGGAGCTAGATCTCTATCTCAGTGGTCAAACAACATCAGCAAGAATGAGTCAAGCTGGGGTGTGTATGTTTGATAGGTATTATATACTGAGAAGGACCACGTTGGTCATGCAGGACTGCTACCTAGAATGTACCACCTGCGTCTCTAAGGGAGAATCAGCAAAACCTACAAGACAACCAGCTTCTAGTCTAAACACACATAATAATGCTGAATGACAAAGAGAAAGTTGATAACTATGCCAGATGAAAGGAGAGAGGCTTTGAAGATGGAGGAGGGGGCTATGAGCCAAGGAATGCAGTACTTCTAGAAACTGGAAAAGACAAGAAGCGATTCTCCCCCAGAGCTTCCAGAAGGGTCTTAGCCTCACTGACACCTTGATTTTAGAGCTTGCTCTCTAGCACCTAAGATAATAAATTTGTGTTAAGTCAGGAAATTTGTGGCTATATATCATAAAATGGCAGGGGGGATGGGTATGGAGGGCATGCAGAAAGCCAGACTGGTGCTAACCTGCATCACTGACTTCCCTTATATAATGGCCTCTTGGGCTCATCTGTTGATTGAAGTAGCTTTGAATACTGATTCAGCCTTCCATTAACTTGAGTATTCTCCTGCCTTTTCTTCTGGTCCTTCATACAATTTCACGAACTATCTTTTTTTTTTTTTATAAAGATTTATTTACTTATGCATTACAGAATTGGGGTACAGGCCAGTGGTGCAGGGGCAGTGAGAGGATTCACCAGAGACAGTGGGGAGCAGAACAGGCAGACTGATGAAATATACTGCTGAGGGGAGCAGCGGGCGGGTCAGGAGAGGTCTGCCATGTCATGTGGATCACCTCCGGGGCAGGTGGGGATTAAACTCGTGGGGAAGTGGCTTAAGCTTCTTAGTGCTGTGCTTTAACCCGCTGAGCCACCAGGGAGGACTCTCACCAACTATCTTAACAAATGCTTCCCCCCCCCCCCCCCCCCGCTATCTGTTGCTTTCCCTTGCCTGTCCAAAATCTATGCCCCTTCTCCTGGCAGAAGCATCTCAGTTTTGGGGACCCCCTACCTTCCCTATTTCTCAATCAAGTAGCTGGGCTGGACTGATCCCCAGATATGCCGATCCAGTTATCCCAACAACTTAGCCTCAGCGATTGTTCAAGGGGATGAGCATATGGGTGATGTTGGTCCATCCTGGCACTTTTGCCAGAAATACTGCAGGAGAGAATTTTTTTTCCACTGCCAAGTTTAAATCACTTTATAAAAAGTACCTAATCTGGGAATGAAATCAGCTCAGAGAGAAGCAGCCGAGAAGAAAAGCAAAACTTATTTCTGATGTCATTTACATCCTGGAACCTCCTGGGTCACCCCCAGAGCTTTTGGGTTATGTGAGCCAATACAGTCTTTCTTTAAAAACAAACAACAGGGCCTCCCTGGTGGCACAAGGAGTTAAGTCTCAGCACTATGAAGTTAGCTGCAACTACTGTAGCAGTTTGACCCACATGGCACAGCAGACCTCTCCTGTCTTGCTTGTTGCTCTTCTCAGCAGTTGATACACCTGTTCTGCTCCCTATTCCATCTCTGGTGCATCCTCTCACCACCTTCACCTCTTGCCTGCACCCCAGTTCTTGTATGCATAAATAAATAAATCTTAAAAAAACTATTTAAATTGAGTTATGTCACTGTAATTTAGAGAATCCTGGTAAACCTTCTGGGCCACATACACCTTAGTTCTTTGATTTACTCCTCTATCTGCTTCACAAAAGAAATGAGGCTAATTTGTGATTTGGTCTTGGTCATTGGGGCTTCCTCTTCTGAGGGGCCACTAATACATTTTTGTGAGCAAACTGTTCTAAATTTTCTCAGACCTCATGTCAAGTTCACTGGTTTATGCCTTGCAGAACTTACTTTCTTCTTTTTCAAGAAAAGTCATGGCCTCTGCCTCTCTTCAACTTCTGGCAAGGTGAGAAAACCTATAATGAGAGAGGGAGAAAGGATACTATGAATCTCTTTAGATGAATGACATATACTCCAAATAGAATCTGACCCTGAATGAGCTTAGATTTTTCATCTTTTCTGATTAGCTGACGTCACCAGACTTCTGTCAGAGCATAAGTAATGTCTTGTGCCAGGTTCCTCCACAGGACTGGGGGTGGACCTCCTTTTGCCACAAATACAATCCTCCTCTGCTCCCATCACATCTGCAAGATGGGGCTCATATTTTGCTGGACTCAAGACAGCCTTCCAGGGATCAAGGGCATGCCCACCTAGCTCTAGTGTCCAGTATGGGAAAGACAGTGACCTTGTACTTCCTTCCCTAGTTTGCAACAAGCTTAAAAACCCTGGAGGTCCAGTTTCTCTGACATGGCTACACCAAGCAGGTCAGGAAAGTCTGGAAATAACCAGAGCAGCTATGGCCCCGCAGACCCCATAACGTATGGAACTCCAGCTCCCTGCTTCTGCCTCCTCCTTGTTCCCTTAAAGTTTTCTGAGCAAGTCTTAACTTCATTAGGGTCTGTTCCATTGCACAACAGCTCCACAGGGGTAAATCTGCTCATTATCCCCCACTGTCTTCTTTTCTGCTTCATGACAGAACTACAGCTCCTCCTGCATTAACTCCTAGGACTTCAGCGAACAGCCAGTATTCTAAAACTGACATTCAGCCCTATTTCTGATACCACTGGATTTATTAAAAGAAAAGGGGACTTTGTTCCTTCATACTAGCAGCCACTACGAGCACGATAGCTCTGCAATATAGCCGTGGAAAGGTCTTTAAGAGAATTGATGGTCTCAGGGCCCACACTTGGGAGGGAGATTCTGAATTTCGTTAGGCACTGGAGCCAAATTCGACATAATCCCAACACTGAGTGGGGGTGTCACTTACTGCTTCTATTCTTCCTGTCCCTAGAATTAAAAAAGGTGCCATTTCTATTTTTACCTTTCTTTTCTTTTTTAAGAAACCAGTGGTCTGAAGGTGTGTGCAGAATTTGCTCAGCAGACCGGCCTAGAGCTTCTGTCACAGTTGAAGTGGAATCTATCTGCCTTGAAGATACACCCTTACAAAAACGAAATTGGCCTCACTAGCCCTTCCATGCATCCTTACGGCTTATCTTAAAAGTGGGTTGGTTAGTGTCACGACGTTGCACAAACTCCTGGCTTTAAAGGTGCGGAGACCAAGGCCCACGCCCCGCTAGCGTCACCAAATCCCCAATCAGCCGCGGGCATCGCGGCCCACCCAACCCTTCCGGCTCCAGGAGCACAGCAAGTTCGCAGCAGACCCAGGAGAGGCGGCCTTGGGACCTACGAGGACCCCGGGACCGCCGCCGAGCCTCGGGGGCCCAGGGCCCGAGGAGCGGCCCCGCCCCCTCACGTGACACGCCCCCGCCCGGGCGGCCTCGCACCTGCGCAGACAGCATGGGGGGGCGGGGCGGCGCGCTGACTGACAGCCAGGGGCCGGCGCCTCGCGAGCGCCCGGCTCTGGGGCAGCGCAGTAGCAGCCCAGCCGAGCCATCCCGTGCGTCTCGCTCCGGGTTCCGCCCGCCTGCCGGCGCCCGCCGCGGTGAGAGGGGCCCCGGCCTAGCGCGGAAGGGAGGACGTGCCGCGGTTCTGCGGGGCGGCTGGAGGGATGGCGCGGGGTCGCGGCCCGGAGCCTCAGGGATGCTGCGGGGTCCGTGCATGCCGGCGGGGGCGGGAGCGGGAGTCCGGGCTGGCGGAGCAGGCCCGGGCCTGGGGGGTTGTGGCCGGGGGTCCTCCCGGGCGGCACTTGGGCTCACCGAGTAGCTTCGGGATGGAGCCGGCTTCTGGATCGAAGGGTAAGGGGCCAAGACGTCGCCAACTCCTGGAAGGGGTGGGGGGCCCTGGCTCCAGGTGGGAGACACTGTGCCAGGTGCCTGTGGGTTGGGTGCTAACTTTGCTGCCCGGCTGCTCCTCAGTGGCCTACGTGCAAGGTTTGTGTGGGGGGGAGAAGCGACTCCTGGGGTGGGGTGCCGCGCTGTCAGCTCTACCTGTGCCTTTCTGGGGCTCCGACCTGCTCACCTCTCGAGGTTCGCAGCTGCCCGCCTTGCTGCCCGCGGTGCGAGGCGGTGTTGGAAGCCTGGCAGCTGGTGGGGGGCAGGGACCCGACTGGATGTAGTCTTCCTGGAGCTGGGCGCGTTTTCCCCTTGTAGGGATTTCGGCTTCCCTAGGGGGCGGGTTGGGGGGGGGAGGTAGGGGTGGTTAGGATTGGGGAGAATGGGTTAGGATTGGGGAGAATGAGGGGGAAAGAGGGCTTCACAGTGGGCTCTGGCCAGATCTTCTAACTCTCCACTTCGGTTCTGGGCAAGGGCGCCAACCTGCAGAATGAGCAGGCGCTGTGAGCTGGCACAGGTGAGGTGCCCTGACGTGGAGGCGCCCTGGTGAGTCAGTGTTCCCGGCAAGCTGACAGCTGTCGTGGACCAGGCTGCTTTCCCCCACCTGCCATCAAAGCCATGATCACCCAAAGCTGGTGTTTCCGATTCGTTTGATTAGAGACACCCCCTCCCTCAAGCTAAACCAGGGCAATTGAAATGCTTAATAACCAAGGGGGGAGCTTAGATGGCGTTAGGGCTGAGCACTCCTTCCTGCACTTCAGTTTGGAATTCTGTCCGCCCATTATTCAGTCTCTCCCTTTGCTGTCACTGGTTTTTGTTTCTACTTGGTTCAGAAATAGGCTGCTTGCGCATTTGTGGCACAGGGTGACAGGCTATTGAGATCCGCTCACAATGAAAAAGTTGACTCATGAAATTTGCTTTTTCCATTAAAGAAATGAGGGTGACCGTGGACTCACGCTGGCGCTCTTAGTGGGCACACATCCTCTCCAGCTTCTGTCTGTGGGTTTGTTTTTTTTGTTTGTTTTTTGCTTTTTGTTTTTGCAGTGTGTTCTTTTGTATGAGGGGTGTTGTCAGTTATTGTGAAGATAAGTTGTATTATTTGAGCGTACAACTGAAGCCAAAGAAAACCTATTCAGCCAGCGGAATCCCTCACAACCCTTAGATCACTCACAAAGATCTTAGTGTGGTTCTCTCCTAGAAGCTCACATGGGTTCTCGGAGGAGAATTGATTTATGTTCAAACTCAAATGGCCCTGAGGGGACTTCTTTTAGGGGAGTCTTTTAGGAAAGGTTTAGGGTGAAATGAAGCAGATCTCCCTTCCCTCCATTCTCTTCCCCACCCCCCAACCTGCTCCCTCAGGGGAAAAAAAAATCAGGTTTAAAGAAATAGCAAAACCTGGCTGGGAAGATTTTTTTTAAGCCCTGAAAAAGCAGAGGAACAGAAATCAGCCACAGAAAATAAATGCAAAGGGAGAGAGGAGTAAAGATCCTTCCGCCAGTTCTTTACCGAGGGCTTTCACCAGAGGAATCTCCTCTCACCTTGCAACCTGTAGGTGCTGTCGTCATTACTGGGCAAGTGAGGGTACTGGGGCTCACACAGGATCCTTTGCTACTCTAGTTCCACCTGAACCAGATGCAATTCAGGTGCAGGGTTCCACCTGAACCCTTCTCCCTGTGGACTAGGGCCTCCTAGGACCTGGGAGGCCCTCGTGAGCCCAGGTGCTCCCCCGGCCCAGGGGAGGCCCTTGTGAGCCTGGGTGCTCCCCCAGCCCAGGGGAGGCTCTCTTGAGCCTGGGTGCTCCCCCCGCCAGCGCCAGCGCCAGCACTGCTCTCCCACATCCTTTGTAGCATCTGGGCTGCTCACTCAGTCAACACAGCCCACCACCTTCACCACTTCCCCTGCCCCAAGCTCGAGCGTGTTCTGTGTCTACTCAGATTTGTTTATGTCTTTGCGAAATCTAGTAGGAAGTATGATTGCAGGGAGTGGCTTTTGCTCAAGTGCTCCATGTTTCCAAATGGTCTAGGTGTCTTCAGCTATGTGGAGCAAGAGGAGTCAAGGCAATTCTTGGGACGGTTGCTGTAATTGTTTTCTTTGTCCTCCAGCCGGAAGAGAACTACCCTGGTTGTGAAACCTAAGAAGCTGACCTAGTAGTTTTGTCCATTGTATCCAGTTTCTTATACATGGCAATGATTGAGTTGTAGCGAAAGCTTTCCCTCAAACAGGGCACGGTTATTTTTACTAGGGAAGTGCAAGCATTAATGCTCTCACAAAAAGGACTTCAGGAGGAGGCTGTCAAAAGAGGTTCCAGCCAGTTGTGGTATGAAACAGAATTAAAAGCCAAGACAATCTTGAGGCACGTAAGGAGATGGCAGAGCTGGAGTAAGGGGGTGGCAGCTCTTTCTCCTCCATGCTGAGCCTATTAGCTTCTTTTCTGGGCTTTCCAGCTAATGAAGGATGCAGAAGAAAATCAAGCATGTTAATTCGTAATTGCTGCTGTGCACATGCATTGGAGCTGCTAAGCCTGAAAATCGGGCAGCCATGCTTACACAAGGTTTGGGCTGTCTTCATTAAACTTGTTCTGGAGAGATCCAGCATCCCAAGAACTGAAGGGCCAAATTAGAATGAAAAAGACCTCAGCTTTCATAACTTTATGTGCCAGCGTGGTCTTTTAAAAACATCAGTGAACCGAGTCCGGTGGCTCTCCGGTCGGTATTCTTGGGGTCTCCTGCAGCTCGGTCTGCTGGGCCGGCTGCCTGATCTCGTTCCTCCTCGTCACTGACTGCCACTCTCTCAGTCACGCATGATCTGCCTCCCTCAGCGCTCTGAGCACACCTGCCACAGGGACCTTGTACGTGCTGTTTCTCCTGCCAGGTTTCACATGGCCCCAAGGGGTCGCTGCCGTAATAGCCTGCCCCTGATTACCTAAATAACTCCTTTTGGTCCCTAGCCCACTCACTTTATCATATGCCACTGTGCTGTTTTCTTCATAACAATCTCAGAAACGGTTTTGAGGACGCTTTAATTGTTCGCTCCCCATGTCAGCAGAGCCTCCACAGTGCCTGCTGTATAGCAGGTGCTCATAAACAGTCGTTGCATGGTTTTTATGACTGACAGAGGTGGGGCTGCTTACTGCACCTTACATTAGTTGTCTTTTACTAGGCACAGTCAAACATAGGCTGGCTAACTATTGAGCAAGAGAATTCAAGCATTAGGGAGGTGTTAAAGCTGGATAACTTTGTGTTTGTTATTGCTGTAACAAAATAACAAATTGGGGCTTTTGAAACAATAGACATTGATTCTCTTACAGTCCTGGAGTGAGGGGTGTTGGCTCCTGCTGGGGGCCCCTCTCTCCCAGACCCTGGTGGTTGCCAGCACTTCTTGGCGGTCTCTGCTTCCAGCTGTTTCGCTTCCATCTCCGCCTCTGCCCTCATGAGGCTGCCTTCTCCCTGGGTGTCTTCACTTTGGCTTCCCTCTGTGTATCTGTTTCTTCTGCTAAGGACACAGAACAAATGAATCCAGAGCCCAGCCTGATCCATTATGCCTTTGTCTTTAAATCTGCAAAGACCCCATTTCCAAATAAGGTCCTGTTCACAGGTTTTGGGGGTTTCGGCCTCAATAGAGCTTTTTAGGGGACAGAATTCAACACATCAAGATTCAGTGGCCTTTTAAAGGGAGACTTGGCAGGAGGCGCCGTGTTATTTTTAGGGATAATGACATGGATTTGGATACTGGTACATAAAGCATCCCTGATCTTCACAGCCGGCAGGGTGAGTGGTGATGTATGTGTCACAGGTGAAGAGCGAGGCAGCGAGCAGCTGAGCAGCTTGCGTGGGGCTGTGCAGGACCCCCCAGTGTGAAGCTGCGGCCTCCACCACCAGCCTCCGCCACTTCACCAGCCTGCTGGCCATGGGGGCTGTGCCAAGTCCGGCCAGAAGTGCAGGATTTCTCCCAGGCTCAGCAGGGGCCCGCAGGGGTTCCTTGCATCCGTGGTGCTTCACTTCACCTGGCCTCTGTCCTGTGGCTGATGTTGGGGTGGCTTGTTGATGGGACTGTGCCTGCTGGCAGCCACTGGCTTGGCGCTTCCTCCTTGCTGAGCATCTCCAGGGACTCTGAGGGCCTTTTAGCCCCAGCTGAGTTTTGAGTTTCAGTCTCTCAGATCCTGGCCCAGACATATTGCTGACGTTCTACCGATGAGCCATCCAGAAGTTCCTAGGGCAACTTCTCATTTGGGGGGCTGGGGGCTGAGAGCAGGGTGGGTGACCAGCAAGATGTTTTTGACTAGGTGATGCATGTAGACAGATGGTGCAGACATCAACAGTGTAGTTTTTGCCTGCCTTCCCTCTCGCCCTGGAGGCATCCATCACTGCCAGTTTCTTGTGTCCCCTTCCAGAGATCCAGTGTCCTCTACTGTCTCTGCGCGCCACCCCACACCCTGGGGCTTCACCCTGCTCTCCATCCTCCCTTTCTCCCGCCTTTTCAGAACCCCCTTCCATGGGGCTCCTGACTGGCTAATGGGCTCCCACTCTTAAGAGCCGATGACAGTGCCTCTGCCCAGCGTTTTCTCTTTGGAAGGAAGGACCTTGGGGGAGACGAACCTAAAGGTAAAATCTGAGGCTTTGAGGCCAAGGATAGGGACTGTGCTTTTACTGATGGGGTAGTTTTCACAGCCTGGCCCTTAAACTACAGGGATTGACCCAACAAGGAGGCAGGT